CTAGCCAGATCCTGCACCAGGCAGTCCTCTCCCCAGTCTACAGGTCACAAGAAGTATGAAGTAGAGCAGACCCTCCATGTCCCGATGCTGCATTCTCATTACAGTTTTTAGTACTTAAGGTCCTTCTGCTGAGCATCTCAGACACCAAATACCATGGTTCAACACCAACATCTCCATCTCCTAGATAAGAAAGTTGAGGCTCAGAGAGCCCAGTGAAGTCACCCAAGTCCCACAGCTCCTAAGGACAGAGCTGAGAGGAGAATCTAGCTAACTCTTATGTTTTCCACTCTGGTGTAAAGTATATCGGAGGTGGTGGGAGACTCATAATCACGATCAGGACCCAAGCCTTGAAGAAGAGATGAGGACCGCAGGTGCTGAACACCCAAAGGAAGCCCAAAGCTTCATAGACAATTTCTTGTTAAAAATCTCCCTAAGACCAACAAGATGGCTCAAACTGGTAAAGGCACTTGTCACCAGGCTTGATGGCCAGAGCCCACATGGTGGAAGGAGAGAACTGAGCACATACCCGTGCCTTCTGACCTCCACAGTGTCACATGTCCCTCCCCCACCCATTCACGTGCATCTCACCCATTCATGTGTGTGTGTGTGTGTGTGTGTATCTCTCGGGGCCTAGAGAGATAGCTCAGTAGTTAAGAGTATTTGGTGCTCTTGCAGAGAACCAGTTGGTTCCTGGCACACAGATGGAGATGCACAACTCTAACTCCAGGGGAGCTGGTTCCCACTGCAGGCAAGTCACACAGGTGGACATTCATACACACAGGCTAACACTCACACACATAAATCAAAATAAATAATGGGTACCTCATTTCCTACCATTCCAGAGAAAGTCGATTAATCCTGAGAAACAGACGGTGGGGCAGGGGGACGCATCCTTCCGGGAGCCCTTGTGAGCTGGGAATTACCTCAGTCTCTGTGCTCTGCATCCACCTCTATCCTTATTCCAGAACCCTCTGCCTTGAACCAGGGGAAGGAAGCCAGTGGGAGGGTGAAGGAAAAGGCTTCCCTCACCCATGTCCTAGGAATGTGAACTGCCCACAAGGGAAGAGAAAGGAGCCAGGGCCTGGGAGAGACCGGAAACAACAACTCACCAAGGAGCCAAGACGACGCAGAACTGGTGACCCAAGGACATCCGGCAGCTTCACTTGTTTACACGACGCTTCCTGGAAACGTGGGCTTCCAGGAGTCTGCCACCCAACACAAGCCACCACCAGTGAGGGGAGAGGAAAGGGTGTCCCGTGGGGAAGTGAGCTGTCCCCGTGCGGGACAAGCTGCCGGGGCCTGGAAGTGGCCCTGCTGCTGCTCCCTCATCTCAGAAGGAAGCCGCTGCACTTGAAACCAGATCCACCCCAGGCCTGGCTCAGTTTCACTTCACTTCTCCTAGGAAGCGGTACTCCACGGAGTGGAAAATACAAGGGCACTGTGGGGTCTCCAGAGAAATCCCCCAGTCAGGACAGCAGGTCTTCCATTCCTGGCTCTGGAGCTTGAAGTAAAGGGGGTCAAGGGTCAGAGTCCCCAGATCATAATCTGGCTCACCACATTGAGCTTGCTGTCTGTGCCTCAGTTTCCCCATAGTTTTCAAAGCCGCCTCCATTAAGGTGAAGATGTAACAAGCTTTAACACATGAAGTATTCAGTACAACACTGTGCATTCAACAGATGACACTGAGATATGCTCTTGCATATGGTACCCGACATCTACAGGTGTGTGGGAAGACGACCTGCACCCCGCACGCTCAGTGACACGCTAAAGAGTTCAACCAGGATCCGCGGTGAGCCCTGGGCATACGTGCACACATCTAACCCAGCAGGCTCCAGGGTGCTGTGTGAAGCTGACCCCTGAAGCCAGAGTTCAGAGTCTGTCCTCACTCAGCATGGCCACCCAGTAGGGGGTCGTGAGGCAGCCCTGCCTTGGGCTTCATTCTCCCCTCTTCTTCACCTTTGACCTTTGATGATGCAGGATGGAGAAGGCTTGCCTCCCTCTGATTTCAGTTCAATAAGGGTTGTGAGCACTTTCATTCTTCCCTCGGATAAGAGCAAGGGAGAGACAATCCAATGCACGGAACTTCAAAGAGAAGACGTGCCAGACCCCAGTGGAGAGTAGCCTGCTCCTTTGAACCTCCCAGATTCTCCAGAGAGTCCTCCACACAGGGTACCACTGGCCTCTCTGTTCCTTCCAAGCTCTTCCTCTCCAAGCCTTAATCTCCACGGACAGAGAGGGAGGAGAGCAGAGGGTCCCCTCTCTGGTGCTTCAGGGTCTGGGCAACGTTCTGAAGAAAGGAGAGGGTTATAACAGAATGGGAGTTCTGGCAGATGCTTGCAGAGCAGAGAAGTGGTAGGGATGGGGAGAAACAGGGACATAAGACCTGGCTTCCTGTCACATCTCGGAAGATCTAAAACTGGGGTCTCTAGACTAAGTTCAGCTACTGAATGGAGACAGATGAAAGGAAAACCCAGAGATGGCAGGGAGCTGGGGTGGCTTCAGCTGGCATCACCTGCCATCTTGATAATCAAGGCAGAGGGTGGTGACCAAGCAGCTGTGACTGGGCACCAAGACATACAAGGGTCTCTCTGGCCCTGGCCCTGGGATTAAGGGCAGGGGGAGAACACGAGGTGTGCACACATGACACCCCCCAAACTGTTTTCACTTCAGACTGAAAAGGGAGACCTTACCTCAGCTTGGGAAGGTGGGGCAGAGACCAGCAGTCTCAGGTAAAGGAGGCTCTGCATGCCAGCATACCAGCACTACTGTCCTCCTGGCACTGAGCCGAGGCAGCAAGCTGGCGATGCCTAGGGCGCAGGGAAGGGCTCTAGTGTTGCTCGTCTGGAAGGAAGCCCGAGGCTCCAGGAGGCCCACTTCATGCTGGGGCTCCACCAGGAGTAGGAACGTGGGAAGCTAATGGCTCAACTTTCTCCACCAGGCAAGTAGGCAGGGCTGCTTTGAGCCACTCTGCTGTCCCTCCCTGAATGACTGTCCTAGGCCCTGCCCAGAGAGGGCCGACAAGGGCTGAGCCTTCCTGAGGCACTTCAGAAGTATTAGCTGGGGTCAGCAGTCAAGGGACTGCTGCTAAACTACCGCTCTAAGTGTCCCCTGGCCCTGGGATGGTCCTTTCTCCCAAGGCTGGGGGGAAGTCTCTGGTCCTTAGGTCAGAAGACCTAAGCAACAGCTCGGGTCCGTGCTCAACTCCCAGGGTGAGATTGCTCAAGCCCTCTCCACTCCCCAGCCTTATCGCTGGCATCAACCCAACTCCTCTGTTCTTCTGAGGGACAGACTCCTCCCTCCCTGCAACAGGGGCAAGCGCCTAAGTGTCTGTGGGGCTGAGTCTGCGGGATGTCCTAACCAGAACAGCTGGAGTTGCTACTCCACAGCCATCCAGGATGCTGGCTGCAGACCTCCCTCCTCTGCCAATTCCATCCAAAATTCAAGGGGGGAGGCAGGGATAAAGGAAAGGAGGAAGAGAAGGATACCCCAACATCAAACACCTTGCCTGCCACAGCTGGGCACAGCCTGTCCTGGTCACAAAAATCAGTCTGGGGAGGGGGGTGGTCTTGAACCAGAGGCAACCCAGGACCATTGTGGAAAAGCTCTGAAAGGAGGGTCTGGGATTTCTTTACAGGTAGGTCAGCATCAGACCACCCCCAGGACCACTGCCTTACGGAGGAAACCCTCTCTTTGCGACTTCCTGCTTGGGAGCTTGGACTGTCAGTTTCAAGACTGTTGGGCACACGCATAGGCTCGGAACAAGAATGGACAGCTGGGGTGTGTGTGAGAAACAAACTGAAGGGGGAGAGGGGAGCTAAAAAAAAGAAAGACAGAGACCCCAGAAAAGTGGAAGAAAAAAATGCTCCAAGGAACGGCATGAGCTGAGCGCATGAGCTGAGCAGTTGTACCTCGAATGAGCAAGGGACCCTGTGAACTCTGAGAAGTTACCAGGGGGCAGGACACCCCTAAATCACCGCTGCTTGAGAGCAGGCTCACTTTAGCACACTAGCTCCAAAGGCCCCCCAAAGACAGGTCCCCAGGACCTCTGGGAAGCTCCCCTGCTTATCTCCTATGGTTCCCCATGGTGGGAAATAGTTGAGGGGCAAAGTCTCAGTTCAGAGGAGATAAACCACATTAATCAGTAGTCACACGCTGCGGGCAGCTGACGAGAGCTTGGTAGCACATGGCACCCCCACCCTCAGCAGGGTCTCAGGCTACCCAACATGGAGGGCAACTCCCAGGACTCTAGTGGATGCCCCATTATTGCCAACTGACCTTGGGCTGCCCAGAGGCCTGGCTCTGCTCCAGCACCCACCCACCCCCTTCCCAAGTTCTGGGAGAAACCTGTAGCAGAGTTCCCCCTGCTATGGGCCCTGTCCTTTGTTCTTTAAAATTCACTCCATCCCCCTGGTGGTCCCCTCCTCCAGCCTGGCCTCAGAAAGGGGCGGGCGGAGCTGCTGCAGGCGTTACTGGAAACCCAGACGGGGCAAAGAAGTTGCGTGGCAGAGGCCCCCTGCCAGGGCCTCTCATTGTTTATGCTCCTCAGGTCTCTGGTCCAGATGGCTGCTGGGGGTAAAGAATGGCAAGTACACCATCCTCTCCCGCCAGAGTAGACAGAAGGCTTCAAAGTACAGAGACGCCCACAAGGACTCTTTCCCCATTCCACTGCTCAACTACCTGGGCAAAGAATGGGAGCTGTGGGCCCAGAGAGGGACGTGGGAGCCGGTCAGATTGCAAGAGGTGAGAGTGTTGGAGGGGGGAGAAGTTCCCAGCCAAGAAGAAAAGAGAGAGCATTGTATTTCCTCTTCTTTCTCCCTGGGAGAAAAAGAAAACTTCCGAAGCCCAGGCCGCAGTATTTCATTGGGCAAACACAAGGAACCTGGTTTGAGTTAACAGAGAGGGAGCGCCCCTCCCCCCTCAGGCACACACTCAACGCAAGTCCTACGGTCTTCTCCCAGGAAGCTCAACCGCCACTCACCCCTCCAGTTTGGGACACTCACCCACAGCAGCCAGGGGACCCCTAACAGGCAGAGGCAGCCCTGCAGGCGACACCACAGACATAGGAGGGCAGATCTGTTCCCCCGGCTGGGGGCGCTCCAGGAATGGGGAGGCGCCAGAGACCAGGATCACAGCTTCAACGTCCCGAGCGAGCGGTTAAACATTAACCAACCGCTACCTACCCGCCCCTGAACAAGCCTCGAACACAGTGCTCCGGGAGCAGCCGGCGCGCGCGCGCGCGCGCGGGGAGCCTCGTCTGGGGTTGCAATGGGGCGGCCAGCTCGGGCAGCCCCACCCCGCCGCCCGGAGCCTGCGCCTCTTGCGGCCTTGGCCTCCAAGTCTTTCGATGGAGGCGGGCGGGGCGGGGGAGGGAAGGGCTTGTGCGGGCCCGGAGGAAGGGGGAATATTTGTTCGTTAGGCTACTGCCTTCCAGACGGCTCCTGCCCTCCTTTCTCTCGGGCCGGGCAACACCGGGTGGCGCCTACTGCAATGTGTGTACAAGCGGGAGAGCGCGCGTACACCTCTCTGCCACTACACAAGAACTCGGCTGTTATTCATGGAGAAGTCTGTGCGCACACGCCCCCCTCGGGGCGACCGCGATTGTTGTGTGCCTACCCACGGCAACACACACCCCATTCCTGCGCGAGGGGGTGGACCTTTAAAACCTTCCCACTCACCCCACCCGGAGCAGCTCCTGTGGCTAGAAGGCGAGTCCTGGCGACGCTGAGCCCTGTTGTCACCCCCTCCTCCGCACACTGAGATTTTCTGGGACACAGTGTGTGGCTCTGGGTCCTGGACACCCAAGATTGCGCCCCTAGCCCCAGCCATACCTACCCCCGCTGGGCACAGAGGGCTGCGTTTGTCAGCGCCCTGCTCCCTCGTCCTCCCCATCCCCGGGGTCTTTCTATCCTCTCCACGCGACCAGGGATCTCGAGCCTACCCAGGCCTCACGCGGCTGCAGGGCCACAAACGGGTGCCCATTGCCTACCTCGGTCCGCAGCTCCCCGAGCGCGGGCCCGGCACGGCTGTGCGCTCCCCTCTGTGTGCTTGGCGCCTCGGCAGGACTGACGACCCATGGCAGCGCCGGCGTTTGTTTCCTCTGGCTCCGGGCTCCGGGTGTGCTGGGCGCTGGGACACTCCCCTCCCTGGCTCCTCCCAGCCCTCCCTCCCGTACCCCTCCGCGCTGATGTCACGCCGCCACAGCAGCCAATGGCTGTCCCGGAACTCAGCCTGGCTGTTCGGCCTCCCAGGTTCAAATCTAAAAGCCCGAGACTCCTCCCTCCCACCCCCAGCTCCTTGTGGGGTAGCAGGAGCTGGTCCTGCTCCGAGCGGTCGATCCCCCTCCACATCCCCCGTGCTCTGGCGCGTAACCAGACTTGGGCTCCGCAGAACCAGGAGCACATCCCCTCCCCAGGGCCCAAGAGAAGGAAGGCCCTCTCTAGGCTCTTCCAGTTTTGAACAATGGTAAGGAACATACTCCCCACCCTGCCCAGAAGGCGTCCCTCGTGCTCCCACCAACTCCCTCCAGGACCAGCTACCCACTCCGGGACCTGGGACTGGCGACACGAGCAGGAGTGTGGGCTCCGTGGCTTCTGTGGATTCCGTCTCAATCTGGAGCGCGGGAGGATCAGGCCCGCCCGAATCCATACCGGATTGCGCCGTGGTGAGGCTTCAGCAAGGTGACCTGGCTGTGATCTCTCTGCCTGGCGACCACGGGCATCTTCAGTACCCTCCCAGGGAACCTCCTGGAATAACTCCTGAGTTCTTGGACCCGATCCTTTGAGCAGCAGCCGTCATCGAGCTCTTCTTGGTAAAGGACGTTCCGGCAATGAATGGTCGTTAAAAGAAACAGATGCCGGCGGTGAAATAGTCAACAAAAGGAAAATGGAGCCAGCCTAAAGTCGAAGTTCCCTAACTACGGAAAGGAAGTGGGTGTGGAGGCGGTGGAGGCTCCATCCTCTTCTCCCCGAGCGTTGCCTCGTGGTCCCTCAGCGCCTTCAGCCTCCTCTGGAAACCGTGCCTTCTCAGGATCGCGCCTCCTTTTCCTGTCTGTCCGAGAGAAGACGTTAAACTTTTCGTGTTGTGTGAAAATCAAATCCAACCGTTGGGTGCCTGGTCTAGGGGCCTAGCTCCTGCTGCAGAGCACGAGGCGAGTCCACACTACACTCAAGTCCCAGAACCACCATCTTAGAAGTTAGACCGTGAAACTAAAAATCGCCGTCCAGAGCAGTTAGGGGAAGGGAAAGCCCTAGGTTTCTGACCCTGATTGCGTTACCACGGGGAACTTACACTCCTCCCCACCAGGTCCGACTCGCCCTGTGTGGGTCCCTCTCCTAACCTCACCTGAGGAGAAACCTTGTGTAGACTATAGAGCAGTGTCAAATGGAGTCAGGGCTGTCATGACCTGGGTCAGAGGTGGCTGTTAATGGAGCCTATAGGGCAAGCCGGTTGGAAAGGTTTGGGGTTCCCTCTGGCTTAAAATTCCAACTCTGCCCCTCACTGGCCTGCAAGCCTTCTCATCTGTACGATGTGCACAGCACCCCAAATGTTAACATTCCCCTGATGAATGCGCTGGTAGATGCAGGCTCTTGGCTCTCCCACGAGTGCTGTACCCCAGTGGCTCCCTGCTCAGCGCCTTCCTGTGCTCCGAGAGTCCCAGGACTTCTTCGTCTGTTAGTATTAAGTCTCATTTGTTCCATAAATGCTTTTCTGGTTTTCTCTGAGACTTCTCCCTCTCCCTCACTTCTTCCGTCGTGTTCAGTAAATCATTTGGGAATGCCAGGCCACCCCAGTTAGGGAAGGGGGGTACAATGTCCCCTCTTCACTACAGGAAATTGGGTCCTTTTCCTGCTGGTGATGTCGGGGAGTGAATGCTGTCCCTAGGTCATCCTGGAGCTGGCTCTGTCCCCAGCAGATGGCCAGGCCCACAGGCTCCATCTTCTTAAGTAGCTGTTACAGGTTTTCCCTTAATCCTGGGTTTCCCTTTCTTCTTTTAGTCCCTTTGAAATTCCATCTCCTTTTCTTCAAATTCAAGCCTCTTCCACAAACATTTGAAATTAGTGGAGGTCCCTTTGGAGGACAAAAGCCACCTGGGTCACAGTCCTCAAACTGCCTGGTGGAAACTAGTTCCTCTCCGTGGGGGGTCTAGACCACCTCCTTTTAGCACTCATCAAGGGTGAGAGGATGAACAAAAGAAAATGCTAATTTCTCCCAGCTGTTTACAGTCCCAACCCTGTCCATCTTTCTCCAAAGACTCCACCGAAGGTAAATTTCTTCCCAACGTTTTAGGCTGGTGCCATCTGTGGATAGTCAGGCAAAATCAACCAGACTAACTGGAGGCTTGAATGCCTCGCTGGAAATTTCTGGCAAGTGCTAAGCCCCAAAGTTTGGAGAGGGATTTAAGGTCTTAACTGAACCTTTAAGGTGTAACCTGACCTATAAGCCTTTAGGCCTGGGCATGTGTCTCTGCCTGTCCCAGGCTGCTGGAGCCTGCCTTTGGAGTTTGAGCATGCGTGATTCCTGCAGCTGCATGGGCATGTTCTCCAAAGCATCCCCCAAGCCCGAGGCATACCTCTTGGTGTTAACACCGGGATGTTAGTTCACCTTATGTTGCCCCAGCCTTAAAAGGATTGGCTAATCCCACTTCCTTAATGAGGAGCTGGAAACCACACTCGGCCTGCTCTGGTGTTTTCCATACAGTGTGGTTCTGGGCGAGGCATGTCTCCCTTCTTTGCAGTGCTGGGATTTGAACCTAGGCCTGGTGCCATGCTAGACAAGCACTCTACCATCAAACCATGCCCACCACCCCTCACTTCCATTCTGGAATGAGCTGGTCTCCAGAGCTCCTTCCCAGGAGAACGCTGTTATCCTCACATCTCTTTCTATCCTGGACCCTTCTACCACTGACGTGAAACAGACCTGAGTTCCTGCAACAGAATCCTCTCAGAGAGCCTGGTGTCTGAGAGTTTGAGGTTGGAGCCTGAGTGACCCAGGTCAGGAACTATTGTCTGTGGCTTGGGCTCTGGGCTAATTCACTTTCTTGCCGCAGGACAAAGACCTTTTCACTTGGGAACCACCTGGGGCACCTCCAAGGCTTGGACGGACCTCTAATGGAGCACCTGGGAAAATCCCCAGGCTAACCAAATAGTACTCAGGACAAAGCCTGCCCCACCCCCACTGTGGGGTTAGAGTACCTCATCTGGGGGCCCTCTGACCCAGGCTCCAGGCCCAGACACATCTGGGGTCTAGGTGACCAGAGCTTCCTAGGAAGCCAGACAAGGTTCCCTCCCAAGTTTCCTGGAAACAGTGAGGAGTCTGACTCCCAGTTTGAATCTTCAAGAGGGTAGTTAGCACTTCTGTTTCCGAAGGAATGAGTGACGGGAAGCCGGAGCTGGCTTGTGGGAGCTGGCTTGTGGGAGCTGGCTTGTGGCAGTTTCTGTAGGTCATGCCTCCTTCAACTGCAGAGGACTGTAACCAAGGGCCAAGAAAAACCAGACACTAGAAAAAGGTGGTGTCTGAGAGCACAAGGACCAAAATACCCCTAATGAATCCAAGGTGCTTCCCATAGCCTGGCTTGCCCTGGTAGCATTGCATGACGTCACTGCAGCCTTGGCACTGAACACCAGGCACCTGTTCTTTGCACAGTGCATGCTGCCACACCACAGAATACCAGCAGATGCTGCCTCCACTCCGATTCCAGACAATTGTATGTTACGGACTGCAGTGTGTTTACTGTACACACACACAGCTCTCTGCTGGTACAGGTGAGTAAAGATTCCCTGCAAATGACTGTTTTTTTTTTTTCCTTCTCCAGATAAGGTTTCTCTGTGTATATAGCCCTGGCTGTCCTGGAACTCACTGTATAGACCAGGCTGGCCTCGAACTCACAGAGCTCCGCCTGCCTCTGCCTCCCAGATGTGCACCGCCACCACCACCTGACTGCAAATGACTTTTAATGTTAAGAGCTCTTCCACAGGACCTGGGTTCAATTCCCAGCACCCACATCTGTAACTCTAGTATCAGAGGATACAACGCCCTCTTCTGGCCTCCATGGGCATTGAACACACATGGTGCACAGACACATATGTATGTAGGAAAAACACCCATACACATAAAAATTATTTTTTAAAAGGTTTTCCTATAATTATTCCTCAGCATGTAAGCTTCAAATTAGTATGTCTTTGAAAATATTTTTACTTTTAATTTTAATCATGTGCATGTGTGTCTCTGTGTG